GCTTGTATGCCACTTGCGGAGGATGGTCCCACGCAAGTGTCAGCCACCTCTCCTGTAGTTCTCTTTGGACCTGGCCCCTTGGAACTTTCATTGTTACTGTTCCCAGTGTTGCTAGGGGGTTCCCCACAGCTTCACCGGTGATGTTTTTATTACTATTATTACCAGATCTCATAGTGTTCCCATGAGTCGCTAGGTCACAGTCGGTCCACTTCTACAGAGCCCCGCATGTAGAAGTAAGGGGTAAAATACAATGGGGTGCCCCCCGATGCCCCAAGGTTGAGGCTGTCCGTAGCCCCGCCCGGTATCGTTATATGTCTTGGTGCAATTCCCTGGCCACGACATTTCAGTCAGGGACAAGACGATGAGTGAGATGCTTCTTAGACCAAGCCAAGTGCTAGGGGGAATCCCCCTCCAGCACCTGACCAGGAGCTTCCCCACCAACGACAAGGTCTTGCATCTCCTAGGGGAAGTTTTACAAGATCAAATTCGATTATCAAAATATAAGTCATTTACGGCGTAGAAAGCCTTGTCTAGTAAATAAGATTTCAATGCTTTGCGAAATGAAGAAAATGATGTTATAGATTTGATTTCAAATGGCAGGTGATTGTGCATTTTTTTTCGAGTGATATTGAACTTTTAAGTAACTCTGAGCGTGAGGTAGGTAGATAAAGATCTTGCTCCGCGTTCCTGAGTGAATAAGTGTGAGGTGGCCTTTCTTGAGAAGCGGATATATGCTTACGTATTAGGCAAACGAATTCAAATATAAATAAGGAAGGAAGAGTTAATTTTTTTAATTTTTTTAAAAAATCTTGGCAATGAGTTCTGCTGTTTAGTCCCAGTGAATATCGAACAGCTCTCTTCTGGAGCTTGAAAATGCGGTCAAATTGAGTCGCACAACACGTACCCCAGAATTGAAGGGCATATTTGAGGTGCGACTCAAAAAGTGCATAATAAACATTTCTAGCTACTGACAAGTTAAGCTCCTTAGAAACAGATCTTAATGCAAAACAGGCAGAGCTTAATTTTTTCGACAAAGCGTCGATATGCATGTCCCATTTTAGAGAATTCTCTACAACAAGCCCAAAAATTTTACAGATTTTACGGCGTCGATGGTGGTGTTGTTAACAAAAGGCTGCAGCGAGTTTTTATACGACAAAGCTTTAGTTTTAGAAATGTTGAGACTCAGGAGGTTCGAATCGCGCCAAGATTTAACGGTGATTAAGACATTTGATATAGTCCCATGAAGTGCCGTGACGTCCTTGTTGCTCCAAGTGAAGCTAGTGTCGTCCGCAAAAAGACATATTTTACCACTGATGTTTATGTTAGCAATGTCGTTAATAAAAGAAGAAACAAAATAGGGCCTAGTACTGAGCCTTAAGGTATTCCACATTCTATTGGCTTGCTAGAAGACAACGTGGTATCCATGCTCACAAGTTGACTTCTGTTGCTCAGATACGACTTAAACCATTCGAGAGATGTTCCCCTGAACTGTTCCCCATAGTGCTGCAGTTTATTAATTAGGATCTTATGATTTACACAGTCGAACGCCTTAGAAAAATCACAGAAAATTGTTGCTGTGATTTTTCTAAGGCTGGAGTAAACTTTATTAAGGAGGGAAACAGCGTCATTTTGTGGATTTGTTGCTAATATAAATATAAATATAAAAACCAATGGTTAGAGTTTCCAATGCTATCAACTGAGAATTTAATGTGACTCTCTAAGAAATTCATATTTTATTTTGCCAACCAACTGAACTTTTTTATGTTGGCTTAAGTTTTTTGTCCGATTTTTAGGCCAGTTTTTTTATGACTCGACTGAACACTCGCTTTATCCTTCAGGATATTCCCAATCGTAGATTATGCTGCTTCCGTGACTATAGCCCTGCATTCCTCCCTATTGTAGGATATTGCGACTCTTTGTTCCCCTCTCGCCTGGCTAAACCCCCGTAATCCTTCTATAGCTGGAACAACTATAGTGTATGCTGCTCTATTGTGCCTGAAATCCGAATTGCAATATATCGATTAAATTTCTCCTAATTGTAATTTAAAATATTCGCTGGTAAACTACTTAGCATTGTCTGAAAAACATTTTCTTTCTTAAGGAATAAAAGTTGTTAATTAAATCGATTCCGACATTTTAAAATGTTAATATTTAGTGAAAGTGAAGAATGTAATTTAAACCAAAAGGTCAGAAAGCCAGTTCGAATTAATACAAATTATACCATGGGAATTATAAGTCGTATTTAACCTAATGACTAGTTTAAGTCTTCTTCGTGAGCGCTAATGCCGTGAAATAGCTTTCTAATCATAGAACACACAAAACAGCGCTAATGATTGACGGATTAAGTGTCGGTTATCTCCTAGAATTTTGATTTATTCTGATATACGGTTTATATAAACAGCAATTAGAAAATTATTCTAGGATTCGTAAAAAGGGATTCTAATAACAGTTTTCGAACATTTTGTACTGCATGGTTTTTTTATTGAAACTTATAAAAAAACCACAAAATGGAGTAAAGTCTGTACAACGAGTCAGGGAAGATTTTGACACACGACATCCAAAAATTGACAGATTTACCTGTTAATTAAAATGACATATTGTCATTGTTAAGTATCCTCTTATTAGGCAGGCTTTAGTTGATTAGTAGACTAGAATTCTTATTATTTTTTACCTACTAAAATTTCATATACTCTGGTGAAGGAATTTATACTACTCAAAACAATATTAAACCATTTGCTCTTGTCTTTGTATATATCAGTGAACAACTTCTTATACCTGACGGTTTCTGTAAAGCCAATCCAAACAGATAGAGAATAACTTTTAAAATCACGTATTTGCATTTTGGTAAAGGCATTTTGGATGGGTTTAATAGAGACATTCAACTACAGTAATGCACATTTTCTATAAGTATGATAACGAAAAAAAAAATTCCATATATAGGATATTACGTATGTGTATACCTTTAGGAGAGTTTCGTATGTGTGTACCTTTAAGTTTGTTACCTTTTTTTATTGTTATGTAAGCATAATATTTTGATTTGTCGATCGTGTCAAGTCATGTGTTTGGGAGACTTGTTCATTCATCTATAACTGTTCTCCATTCGCGCAGTTGTGCAGCTCTGAACTGTTCAAGAACTTGCACTTAAACCAAATTCCCAAGTTTTTTATTCTATAGGAGCTAGAGATGCCCGACGCACTATTGCCGGGCACTGTACACCTTGAACAGCTAGAACAGGATAACTATCCATAAATTATGACTGGCTCTAATCCTCTTTGATTCAACATCCTTCATATAGTGTATATTATAATGCCTCGCTGGCGGTTGTGAGATCCACGTCTGTCTTTTGCCTCCAAACCGTTTCCAGAATCGTCTTCGGCTTTGCGGCGAAACGGACCCCTAACCCAGTATTCCAGAAATTAATTAAACGTTCATCCAGACATAGGCTAACGAATAGTGACATTAGCATCCGGGGGGGTTAAAACAATTAATTTGGCCTAATCAAATTCTCTCGGCCGCTCCAGTTTCCCGAACCTACATATCGCGCGTAAAGTTTCCAGATGGATCCGCAGGATTCGTTTCCAGATGAAATCTTCCGAGAATTTCGTCTGTTTAGTCCGAGGCTCTATTTGCAGAATAAGTTTTGATGGTTCGGGTGGACGGACAACGGTGTAATGAACTGGTGCGTTTTGAATAAAAGATGACGTTTGTCCTGGTCATGAAGTGACGTCCAAAGAACCGAATAATGTAATTGTTTCTAGTTGTTTGAGTAATTTGGAATTGAATTACAAAAGTTTACAATCTTAATCAGAGTCATATAGTTCCAATTACACTATTTTTCAATTAAAGGCTTGGGTTTGAACCGATTATGCAACTCTATGTATATTTTTCCTATGTAGAAGGATGTGATTAATAAGTGATCATTTAAGTGATTATCGCTTGGTGGCCATATTGGAATTGTCATTTTTTGAAATATTAATTCAGAAGTCATTTCTGTCAGTTCCACAAAATATTCCGTCAATTCTTATTACAAAATGGCAAATGAAAGATTTGGTAAAAAGGATATATGTACTTTATTTCGTTGTATAATCTTTTGAATGCAACTCGATGTTTCGGGATTACCTAATTCTTTTGCCTGACACTCAATGCGATACCGGCAACACTACGACTCCGAAGGAGGGCAACGCATTTCGTATCAGGTAAAAGTATTATTCGGTAATCCCGAAACATCTTGTGGTATTACATTCGATAATTTTTTGCAAATATGTTTAATTTTATAATATGTATATTTCTTTTTTTACATGCAGTATATTTGCCCACTATTTAGGTATTGGCCTAACCAAATTTATATTGTTATGGAGAACGGTGTATTGAACTGGTGCGTTTTGAATAAAAAATGATATTCTCGTTGGTTGTGAAATTGTATTCAGAGAACTGAATAATCTACTAATTTATACATGTTTAAGTAACTTGACATTAAATCAAGAAATGTTCTCGTGAGCTTCGTGAAATCTTCGTGAGATTGTTTATAACAAAACAAATGAGGCGTCAAGTTGCAAAACCTGCCTTATCCATTTTTTAATGACCTAATGACATATATTAATAGTGAACCCTGAAATCTATAACAAACATAGTCCCAAATTGCAGCAAAATTGACTAAAAATTACGTTACGGCAGAAAAATCCGTCTTATCCACATATATTAGCTTTTTATTGTCATTATTGTCGCAAATCTCGAATTTTTTCATAGGCTTTTTACACAAGTATAATATTACTATTGACGTCTTATCCATTTCAAATCCTTAAGTTGCAAAGTTAGGATGCAAATATTATGCTGTGGCAAAACCCACAATAAACATCATAATGCACGTTATTTTGGAAAATAACACTTGAAACGTTTCAGAAGACAGGTTTTGCTTTGATTTGATTTGGAAACTTTGGAAGAGTTATTTGGAAACATATTATTATTTGATACTAATTTCTGTTTTTTTTTTTATTTTTCAGAATAGTGGCTGCCTTGATTTTCATCATTGAACCCAACTCGGGAAAGTTGGTGTGATGTACAGGGATCTTTAATCAGGTATTTTAACTCAAATTTCTATACATACTAATGTTAATATGATGTTTTGCTTGTATTATGAGACGTACATAAATATGGTTTTCTAATATGACGTGGAGTAGTCAGATCTGTATATTTTGATGGTGTTAATAAGCGCCCTTAAAATTGACATCATGGATAAATATCTATTATCTAATAAGATTTATGTATATATTATACTATAAACAACATGAAACGATTAAACACATGAAACAAAAACTAGCTATTAAAGATATGTAATAAGCACAGACCTCGAAGTATTTTGCACAGTGCAATGGAGAGCAAAGTTGTTATGCCTTTTCCATATGAATGCCAAAAACTGCATTTTCTGATAAGTATCGCAGCTTGAAATAAATTGGGTATCGGTGAGTTTATTTATTTTATTTACCATAAAAATATAAGAGATCTTTTCATATAATTTTCATTTTTGTTTCAATATTTTGAAAAAGATAGAATTAAGGAATAAAGTAAGAAAAAGCAGTTTGTAGACAAAGGCAAAGAAAGGCAATTATTTATTTTTCTTTTTGTTGTTTGCTAAGGCAATTAAGACGACACCGACTCCAATTAAGAAATTAAAGACGATAAATTCTCTGAAAAAACAACAAAAGCAAGATAAAAAGGAAACGAGGGGTTACATTTTGCGATAAAAACAGGCCAAACAAAAACGAAAAAATAAAGTAAATCGAGATAATTTCCTCTGGACCTTAAAGAACAAAAACTTTACCCTACTCCTTATTTCTCTGGACTCGTTTTCGTTTGTTTCTTAAAAAATAACATTAATAAGGAAATTAATTGGCTCAAAGAAAGTCCAAAGTGATTAGATCTCGTTTGAACAAGATAAAGCTACATAAAACATTTCTTTATCAAGTTTTTTTAAAGTCTTATATAATTTTTGTAGGGACAAAAACCTTACTAATACATACTCTTTTTTGGATAAAGCTTGAACATTCTTCTTTGTCTAATTTTTTTCTTATGATGATGTTTCCAGTTTTCTGTCTTTGTCGGTTTTTTTTTCTAATTTTGTTTTGTCAGATTTGTTATTGTAAATAATGACTGTTTATATATTTATAATTAACTTATTTTACTTCCTAAAATAGTTTGACTAAATGAAAATATGTAAAAGTGCAACACTGTGCCGGTCACGTCAAGTTTAACGACATAACTAAAAGTTTATTTGGTATGATCCATAACTATGTAATATTAGTTATTCTATATGGGTTTGTCAAACTCTCTCTCTAATTTTTAACTCTTATTTCTAACCTATAATTCTTTAAATCTGGTAATCTCTAGTTTTTCTCAAGTATCAATATCAATCATCATTTTCCATATCAAATTCTATAAAAAAATTATTGCGGATTGTGTCAGACTGCTAGAAAATCTATCATTCACATGCCTAAACCATGTTCTTTGAATATAAAATACTCTTTTGGCCTCTACTTCAAACCTGCTCATGAATAAAGTAGTCGAAATTGGAGATAATGGATTCATTATCATCATTTTCAGCTTATTCAACCATTTTCAATTATGGTGTGCCTCCCCTTACATACTCTCTTTGTAGTTGAGCTCATTGTTGTCTATTGTTGGCTATGCAGGCCCAAGTTATCCCTCCTAATTTCCTAGTATCATGATCCTATATTAGGTCTTCCTCTAGGTCTCTTAATTCCTCTTGGGTACCATGCTGTAATTCTTGTGGTCCATTTATTGGCTGTTCTTCTTCCAAGTTGTCCGGCCCATTGCCATTTGAGGGATTTGACTCTGTGGATGACATCTATTACTTGGGTGGAGATAATGGATTACTCATTGCTGATCTACTTTTTGGTCATTAAGTTGAAAAGTTGGATGCAGAGAGGTAAGTTCAGTACCAGTTTTGTTGAGAACGATGAAGAGTAAAATTTCACCATATTGTAATTGTATATTCCTAATTTTCTTATCATTCCTAATGAATCCTATATAATTTATAACTGAAAGAGAGAGGATTCATGGTTAGGTATATTTTCAGACTTCCTTAATAATACATTTTGCCAATTTTTTTAGCTGAAAGAAATATAATTATGTACGGAGATGTAGCTAATAATAGATATTACATAGACCTTTAGACAAATCTCTTGGTGTAGCGGTATCCACTAAATATAAATGATCTCTGGGGTTCAGGAATAATCCAAAGGAAACTGAAAGGGCAGGATTTGGGAACGAACGAACCGCGCTGTCGTTGAGATAACGAAGCCAGTGTCACAGAGGAACGCGAAGATTTCGCTCAGACATTTGCGCTAATTTCTAATCTGCCTGTCTCAGCCAGTAAACACGTCTAAATAGGGGCTTACAAGAGCCGCCCCGCTGATGTGTGGGATTCCTCTTAAAATATACTTACTGCCGGAATCTTGACGTACGCGATAGAACCGAAAGTCACGTCAATTATGGAGCGCTTTAGCTTTGGAGACGTCGACAGAATTGGCGGTTGGAATAATTCAAAATAGAGAAATCTAGCATTTAACTGATAAAGGATTAAAATGTGTCGAATAGGTAGAATAAGTTAAACTAACTATAACTTCAGTAAAAAGAGAAAATCACATGGAACTACAGCTTCATTGAGAACCTCGCAATTAGTGGAATATATTAGTGGTTTCGATTACACTTTATACTTTTTAGTTTACGATCATCCAGAATTGTATCCATAGAGAAAGCCTAATATTTATAAAACAATTTATTTATTTCTCTTGACGGAAGATAATCAAGGGCCAAAATGACATTTCTCGCAAATTTTGAAGTATAATTAGTGGAAAGGATAAAAGTTTGATAACTTTTTCTACTACTTGTAAATGTTTACCACTAATTTTGATGTTCTGAATGCTTACATTGAAATTAAAGGAACAAGCTTCTACGCTAATTGAAACCACTAATTTAAAAGTGTTATTATTGGTCTTGAAAGACTAATATTTAAACTTATGTTCAATTTTTTTTCTCACTTCTTTCATATTACCTAATTTGTTTTATATATATTTTGTTATTAGTTATTGAATAATGTAGGTCTTTCTGTAAATCATATTTCTGTAATAACTTGATTATTCATTTTACTATCAGTTGGGTTCTATAGTAGGTTTATTTTATTAAATTTTTGCAGAGAGTAAAACTGTAGAAGCTATTATTCTTCGTGTGTAATTTATTATAATATATGAAGCAGTTTGCATGAGATTTCAGAACTTATTATGCGTAACAAGAGCGTTGTAAATGGCTATTAAAATTCTCTGTATTTTTTAAAGTACCTATATTTTAATAGAGATCTAAACAAGAATCTAATAAACACGTAAAATAGAAAACAAATTAAACTAATGTTGTTTTTCTTTTTCACTTTGGCATTTACGGTTGTAATGTTCATTGTTTTTCAAATCGAACTGACAGCTACAAATTATGATAAATTAAGTTAAGTAACCGAACAATGAACATCAAAGTTTTGTGCGTTAATGACTAGACTGAGGATACAAGTGAATACCAAAGACCTATTATCTATAGTTTATTGATGTAATCCTATTAAAGCTGTTAGTTTTTTTATTTACTCCTTTCAATTACATTGCTGAAGCTATTAGCCAGCCCAAAGGTATTATATAAATTAAGTATGCTAAATGTTAGAACATGATAAGCATTGTTTTTCTTACTTACCCCATTAATTTTTAAATATACATGTAGAGAAGACATTACTGACCCCTTACAAAATTACAGAATTAAAACTAGACAGAAAATTAGCTAGATGAAATCAAATGCTCAAAATGCTTCCTTTCCTGTTAACTGCATAAAATGATTGTCTTTTCAAAAGGATCTTTTCATTTTAAAAATTATATGTGGAGTTCTATCTCGAAAAGCAGCTAAAATAATTTCTCTCATGTTGTCGACAATAGTTGTCGAAGTTTTGTAAACACTGTCTTTAACATATTCCCATAAAAAAACAGACTAGATAAAATAGAAGCATTTACGTATTCTATCAATTGGTGAATGCACACTGTATTCACGAAATATTAGAATCATATCAATTCTCTCTGATGTAGGATAAGTTTGCATTTTCGGCAAATTTCTGAGAAATTTTTAAGTTTGAACTGACACAAAATGATAACTAGTTGTTAAACTTGGGCTAATTAGACAACTATATTTGAAGTAACGTCAGACATATCACAGCCACCCAGACTTTATCAAATAATAAAGATCTACTCAGATCAAATCATGTAAATTTAAATATCTAGGAAAATCTTTGTTTGAGGGGTAGGCAACCTTAATAGTATTTGGAAGAGACATGAATTCTCCATTATATCGGAATAATATACTGGATGTTCCATTTAAAATAAAAGGGTAATATGCTTTTAACGGTGACCAATGTTCAATATTAATTTTGTCTCACCCTGTATAACTTTTTGGATCAAGTTTTAATTTGATTTAAAGTACAATAGTTAATTTAACTACATATTAGGCCATACCGGGTAAATTCCAATTTAGGTAGCTTTTATTGTAATTTAAAAATTGTTCTTTATTTCCAGAAAATGTTATAAAAAACCTTATATTTTAGCCCAGAATCCGAAATCGAAAAATCCGAAAATTAATTAATATATTGGATGTTCCATTACAAAAAAACACAACTTTGATATGTAACTTTTTTGGAGGCACCCTGTAGAACTCTCTATATTTTTAAAAAGTGCTCTGAACTAACCTACATATGCTCACAAAATTGAGAGGCGCCACCCTGTAACTTTAACCTTTAATAGTAGAATTTTGACAGTTTCAGGAAACACACATCTTGCAGGAAACAAAAATGTATTCTATCGGAATTTAAAATTGCTTATATTCATTTAAGTATTACAATATTTTCTATAAGTAGACTTATTGAAAAACTTTGAACATATATTGATGTAGATCACAGGTAGCTGCACTTGGATTACACTTTAGGTACGAACTCGAATATCCAGTTTTCTTGTTAACCAACTTTTTCTGTTTCTAAACCT